GTTATATGAAATGAGCTAGCGTATGATATTTATGTGCACATGTTGGTTTGATTGGGGGTTGGGTTGAGGCGGTCCTTCTTTGTGCTGTAGGCCAACATACCCGACGAGCGGTTCGGATAGGCTGTAGGCCCTGCGTGGCGGTCCAGACGTGCTGAAGGCTCGAAGAGCAGTCCAGATAGACTGAAGGCCTGTGAGGCGGTCCAGTCAGGCTGATGACTCATTATGCATGTTGTTCTGTATTGGTTATATGATATGGTTATGTTTGTATGGCGTTGGTATTTTGGGGAAACTCACTAAGCTTCGGGCTTACAGTTGTTGATTTGTTTCAGGCACTTCTGATGATTGCGGGAAGGCGAAGGCGTGATCGTGCACCTCCTCATATTTTCATGATTGATTCTGGGGATACTCTGATGTCTGAACCATTTTGAAAACAAACTGTAATAACTTAATGGTTTTAAAATGTATTAAAAAGTTTAAATTTGGCTTGAATTTTATGGGTGTTATACCAAATGTCCAAAAGCCCAAATTTCCAAAATAATCATCCAAGGCCAAAATATGGCCCAATTTTCCAAATTGGGCCCAAAACCCCTTCATGGGCCTTCAACCAAAGAGTCCAATAAATATCCTTAGCTCAAACCAACATGATGATGGCCCAACGAGGCCCTAACCATCAAGAATCCAAACACGGCCCAATACCGTGAGCCTAAACGATTCGAAGCCCATATGTTGAGTACGCGGGGCGTACTCAGCTCGTACGCTAAGCATACTTGCTTTGGGGCTTGTACGCTCGACATACCAGCTTGTACACCCAACGTACTCCCAGCTTAGCCACTTTTCTTCATTCAACACTTATTCGATTAAGACTTCACTCCAACACTTAGATCTGAATTCCCTAAGGTGGATTATCATGTAAAGTTGGCAACTTTACGTGCATGCATGGCTTAATGGGGCTCTAGAGCTCGAAAAGAGCTTAATAAAAAACTTAACACATGCGTGAGTCTATAAAAACCATAAAGTTTGCACCTTTAAGCTTGAGGAACCCTTAATATGTCCAGATCTAAGAGGCTAAGCTCCATAAACAACCTTAGCTTACAAGAGCAAACCAAAAGGTACCAAAATAGCCAAAACAAGCCAATGAATAGATCTATGAAATGAGTTGACAAGCTTTGAACTTTATACATCAAATGCCACGAAATGGAGATGCTAAAGCTGGATCTCAAAGCTCTTATCCAAAGGATGAGTCTTCAACCTTCTCCATCCTCTTCAAAATGCACAAAACACACCAAAAATGCTTCACAAGAGCTCCAAAGGCAACACACAAGGCTAAGGGACGGAATTAGGGTTTTAAGGGCAAGGAGGTTGAGTAAACATGTCCAAAAGAGGCTATCACATGGATTATATAGGGTGCAAACCCAAAAATTAGGGTTTCAAATCTGCCCACGTACGCCATGCGTACTCCACGTACGCCCAACGTACGTGGATGAGCTCCGCGTCCATGCAAGGCTAGTACGCTAAGCGTACCACTCCAGTACGCCCTGCGTACTAGCTGAGGGACCATTTTGCAAACTTTTTGATAAAAGAGGCTAAATAAGAAACTTACCAATATCCAAGTGTTACATTGTAGGAGAAAGAGACACTTATACTTACAAGTCACCAACTTAATTTACTTTTGGTCGGTATGAGATTGTAACATAAGCCATAACTTTTATTTGTATATAAATATTTGAGAAAAATATTTGTAAGTTTTTGAAATATATGAAATAACATAAAACATAAAAGAAAAAAATTAAAAACTATTAAAAGCTAGTTTATGTAATTTTTGAATAATAAGTTCTTGTATAAAACAAAAGTTTTAAATTCATAATCTCAAACAATGTTTATTTTCTTTATTTGAGTTTAAAAAAAAAAAAAAAACTAAAAGCTCCTAAAAGATTTTAAAAACTAATTACCAAAGGTACCACATGGACTCCCTCTAGATCCATCACCTTCTTGCTTGGTGACACACTAGCTCAAAAGCTAGCTTTTAGGTTGGATAATTACTAACGAGTTGCCTCATAATAACGTATTGCTTTTGCCACATTAACTTTCTATTAAATTTAATCTAACAAAAAACTTTTATCAAATACCAAATTGTTAATTTTTTCAAAAGTTTTTTTTCTTCTAAAATTAATTAATTTATCATTTATCTATCTTAAATATTTTATTAAGTCTATTCATATTAATTTATCGTTTGTTTGTCATGTAATTTTTTCCAAAAAAACTTGTCGGGTATTAATAGTTCAACTAACATATGTCATATTTATCATTTTATAGACACTTGATGCCAAAAATAATAAAACTAAAAAAAATAACTTTGTCAGGTATTTTTTTTACGAAACTATAAAAAATAATAAAATTATCACATATATAGTTATAGAAAAACAAAAACGATAAAATATTATGTAACTATAATGTTTTATAATATTTGATATTTTTTATAAAATATATTTATATATTTTTTTTAATAAATCAGTTGATCAACTAATAAAAAAATCTAATATCTATATAATTAAGGTATAAAATAAAATGTTATTAAATGTAAGGATCAAATGTGATAAAATATAGGGAAAATTTCATAAAAGCCCTCAAGTTTGCAACTTTTTGACGATTTTACCCAAAGTTGTTTATTTGTGTCTATTAATGTCTCATATTTGGATTGATTTTGTCATTATATATATATATATATATATATATATATATATATATATATATATATATATATATATAACTTTGTATATTGTATAAATTTGTATTATTCATATATTAAATAAGTATTATTATGTATAAATGTATTTCTATATGCAAAAACTCATAAATATGTATTTTCCGTATATATTATATAAACTAGGTGTGAAACCCGTGTGCTACATGAGTTGATTAAAAAAAGTTATATATGAAGATATAAACTTTAAATATTTTTTTTAAGAAAACATTAAATATCAAAGTGTAAACATTATGTATTTTTTAAAATAAAATTTCAAAATATATATACAAACAAAATGATGAATAAATAAATAATTCAATTTATATTAATAAAATAAACTACAGTAAAATAATTATATTTTGATCATATAACTTTTTTTTAGTTTGTCAATAAAAAACAACAAAGTTTGATTATTTTTTTATAGAGACCATTTTGTCTAAAATAACAATAAATTTTAAAAGAATCATGACAATTTTGAATTATATATATTGAAGGAAACATATTAAAATTTGAAAATATAAGGAAACAAATTAATAACACATTAATTACTTTCTATAACCTAAAAATTAGATAGTTAATTAAGAAAATTAAAAATTATCACAAAATGACAAGTGAAAATTAATTTCTAAGAATTAACCACAAAATTACATGTGTCGAAATGCATAAAAATTTGACAAGTGGCAAAAAGTTCTTTATTTATTAGGGAAGATTCATACCAAATACATTTTAAATGTATAATTACATTTATAAATACGCTTTTGAAACGTTTAAATATATTATCAAAGGTATTTATACAGTTAAATACATATGTATAACATTAACAACATATTTTTAGAATTATAGATATGGGTCGAAGGGAAACACGCATGTGTGGACTTTATAGGGGTATCCCCTCTCGTGGGCTTGAGGGCTGGGGGTTTCACGGCGGGACAGACTGCTTTAAAAGCAGCTACATGCAAAGTCACTAAACATGAGAAATCGTGCATGGAAAATCAACACGTGTTCATACCATTTGCATTTGATACGTTTGGTTTCCTTGCGCCGGATGCGGTAGAGCTTCTTAATAGAGTACAACAGATCATGCATAGTAATGTTATATCCCCTAGATCTTCGGATATAGTCTTTAAAAGAATTAACTTTACCATACAAAAAAGCTTAGCGGCGCAGACGATGATAATTAAATGAGAAAAGTAGATTGTATATAATTATTCAACACAATATTGCATTTTCCCCCAATTAAATCAAATTTATAGACATTATATATCCTTTCTGAGCAATACATCCACAAAAATCGTGTGCGGCTTAGTGGTAAGTCAGTCGCCATATGAGAACCGAAGGTCGTGTCTTCGATTCCTAAATGGTTCGTTTTATTCCTAAGGCGTTTTTATTTTGCAGAAAACAAAACATGCTGACGTGGCAGCCACGTGTAGTCTATGTTACGACACCTATGCATGAAAATCACCTAGAAACTAGGTAAATGGCAAATAAAAAACCTACAAATTTGAGGCATTAATGGACACAAAATATGATTTTTAGTAAAACCAACAAAAAATTAGGCATTAACCCTAAAATCTATAATAAATTAAAAGATTTAAAGAAAAATAATTGATTGAAGTGACTCTCTAAGAAACCTTTTCTTTAATTGTAAAAACTTTCCAAAAACTTTTTCAAATAATAAAAACTTTATAAAAATAACATAACAATAAATTATCTCAAACTAACTTATTAAAAAACTACTTTTGTAAATTCCAATTTACACTTTACAAATTACAATAAACTTAAAAAATAAATTAGTCTCTCACACATGACTTCAATCTTATTTTATCCGGTCCAAGTGTATAACTTTACCCGACCCGCTCGTATAACTAACTTTGAGTTTGAAGACAAATCAGAAATAAAAATAAGTTCTAGTGTTACAATACGGCGTCGAACAGAAGACACACCCTTGATTTGCTATGAGCCTATGACATGTCCTTCTGCATAAATAAAACCCTTGCGTATGGGTACCTTCACTGATTTTCTCCATATTCCGGCTACATAATCGGCGAATCCAGGTTTCTTTCTTTCGCTTATTACACATAACGACAATTTCTTATAACCATCACCAACGATCATTGCATGTAAAATGTTTGAAAATTCGATAAATTTTCCTCACCAATTGATTCGTCTAGTCGGAAATTCTTGATTTAAATCGTAGGCAACGCAAATTAATATTCTAGCGTTCAATCTTTGAAGACTGATTATATGAAGTTCACAAATGCAATTTTTTATTCAAACAGTGGTAATGAAGAAAGCGCTACTGCCTGCGAAAACTATTAGCAAGGAGAAGCAAAATTCTGGGAAAGAAGCTCTAACGAAGCTCTTGAGATGGCATTTTGGGCATCCTGAGTATCGAGGAAAGCAGTTGGAAGCCATAGAAGCTGTCTTATCTGGTTCTGTATTCATATTCCCTTTTTTGTTTTTTTTTTCTGCAGTAATAGTGTCTAGGCTTCTTGAAATCTGTTAAAGTATCCATTTTCAAGTTTCCATAACATGAAATTGGGGAAATAAGTTGTTCTTGGGCCTCAATTTTTATGCAGGAAGGGATTGTTTCTGTCTGATGCCAACTGGTGGTGGGAAGTCGATTTGTTATCAAATCCCTGCTCTAGCAAAACGAGGCATTGTGCTTGTTGTTTCTCCTTTAATAGGTGAAAGATTGTCTGTCATAATTTGGATTCTTATCAAAGTGGAACCATGTACTACACAACGTTTTCTTTGGTTATCATTGCTAGGTTCTGACTTTTGATTGAATGCACTGTTTTTCCATGATCACAGCCTTAATGGTGAGTGTGGTTACTTGCTCAGTATGTGTCTGTGTATGGATATTGTCAAATGTTATACTTCAAAGTGTTGTAAATTATTGTTACTTTGCACCAGGAAAACCAAGTTATGGCATTGAAGGAAAAAGGGGTAGCTGCTGAATATCTCTCCTCAACTCAGACTTCACAAGTTAGGAATAAGGTAATGCCTAACTTTAGCATCTTACATTGTGTACCTCATGGTATTTTAAACTTCAACAACAACTATTTACTGAAAGATATATTTGCTTGAACATTTGAAAAAAATTTAGATTCATGAGGAGCTTGAATCTGGAAATCCATCAATGAGGTTACTCTATGTGACACCAGAATTGATTGCAACAACAGGATTTATGCTGAAGCTAACAAAACTTCATTCTAGAGGGTTGTTGAATCTGATAGCTGTAGATGAGGTTTGAACTTTATAAATTTCACTGATTCATAAATGAATTCTGATCAATATTTATCCATTTTTTCTCAACTTTTCAGGCACATTGCATTTCAACATGGGGCCATGATTTTAGGTAATTTCTCAAGTTGCTACATAGCTTCTTCATATAAGTTCAATGGTTCATTGGTGCTAGTTTTTGTGGTTCTTGATTAGAGAGTCTTTTCATAATCAGGCCTAGCTACAGAAAGTTAGCTTCTTTGAGGAAACGCCTGCCAGATGTACCAATATTAGCATTGACAGCTACTGCTGTTCCCAAGTGAGTCTTTTTAACTCTCACCTTGTATCTTCTATACTTCATTGTATATAATTCTTACCTGATTTATTTCTTTGCAGGGTTCAGGTGGATGTGATAGAGTCTTTGAACATGGAAAACCCTCTAGTCCTTAAATCGTCATTTAATCGCCCAAATATATATTATGAAGGTTAAATCAGTTGGCTTTTTTTTTTCTTCTTTTCTTTCTGTATTTTACTTCTAAATCATCCATGTCATTGACTAAAATTTCAAATTTTTTACAGTTCGATTTAAAGACCTTCTAAAAGACCCTTATGATGATCTAACTGATCTAATTAAATCCTGTGGAGATGTTTGTGGGATTGTGTATTGCCTTGAACGTACAATGTGTGATGACTTGGCTTCTCATTTATCAAAAAATGGCATTTCTTGTGCTGGTATGTAATTATTCATCTTTCTTTGACTTATCATCTTAATTTCTTCCTTACAAACACTTCTTTTTTCTTTTTGTTTTTCAGCATATCATGCAGGGTTGAACAATAAATTACGGACTTCTGTTTTGGATGATTGGATTTCTGCCAAGACACAAGTTGTAGTGGCTACAGTGGCTTTTGGGATGGTATGCAATTTTTTTCATAATATTATATTACACCTCTGTTTATTCGAATATTTTTTTCTCCAAATGGATTAAATAACAAATCATGCACAATACTTATTAGGGAATTGATCGAAAGGATGTTAGGATTGTTTGTCATTTCAATATTCCAAAGTCAATGGTATCATTCTATCAAGAATCAGGTAGAGCTGGTCGTGATCAACAGCCTTCTAGAAGCATTTTGTACTATGGAATAGATGATCGCAAGAAAATGGTTCGATTATTATTATTATTTTTTAATAATTCTTTTCACCATTTTTTTCATTAACAAGCATACTAAAGTCCTCTATAAGATACTTGCAGCAATTTATATTGAATAATGCGGATAACAAAAAGTCACAGGATGGGTCACCAAAGAAGTCAGTTGATGAATTCAATTCAGTAAGCTTATATTTCTTGTAGATTCATTAAATTATCTTATTGATTATGGTTATAAAAATCAAATCCATGATTAAATAAATGTAGATGGTTGAGTATTGTGAAACATCTGGTTGTCGTAGGAAAAAGATTCTTGATAGTTTTGGGGAACAGGTAAGTAAATCTATATATTATTTATTATAATACTTATTTCCATCATGCTTTAGTCTAGAAACTTCTTACATGTGACTTTTGGAAAGCAGGTATCCACATCAGTGTGTAAGAAAACATGTGATGCATGTAAAGATCCAAATTTAGTGATGAAGAACTTAGAGGAGCTTAAAACCATGTGTTCTCTTCGTAATAGAATCGGATACTCACAGATATTTATAAATAGGTATGTTTTATTTAGGAATTAGGAAGCTATTTTCCTTAATAAAATTGTTATATCCTGATGAATGTTTGTTTTTGTTATGTCTCAGCTCCTCAAAGTCGTTTGGTGAAGTGGAATTCTCAGAATACTGGTCTCGTGATGACAAGGCAATTCCATCTGAGGATGATATATCTGATGATGATGATGGTACATATTTTGTTTAATAAATTTTATAAATTTATCATTTTTAATAGAATCTTACGAGTGATAATTATGTATAACTTCCAGATGGTATTGATGATGTGGATGGCCTTACACAGACGCCCTTATCATCAAAATCAAGACTTATTGAAAAAATGGAATTATTACAACGAGCAGAAGAGAAATATTATCAAAATAAAAGTCCAAAACAGAGCAATAAACTGGACAAAAATGCCATAAGTGAAACAACAAGGGAATCCTGCAAGCAAAGATTACTAAATGCATTAAAACAAACGCAACAACGCCTCGACAACTTTCCGTAAGCATACCCTACCCTCCACTCTCTTTTTATTATTTTTATTTTTTTTGGTGTTCTAGAAGCTTCCGGATGTGCAGGATAGACCCTGAAACATCTTCTACATTCTTGGAGAATGAATGCTACAAAAAATACGGGAAAACCGGGAAATCATTTTATTTATCACAAGTGGCAAGTACTGTGAGGTGGCTTTCAACAGCTAACACTACAGACTTGACTTCTAGGCTTGCCACCAGCGGTCAAAGCCCTACTTCAAAAAAGTCAACGGAAGTAGAACCTTCCTCTATTTCAAATCATGCAATGAAGATGAACAAAAAAGATGATGATGAAAATGTTACATCAGGACACCCTTCAACAAACACTTACAATGATATAAAGTTGCCACCAATCCCATCTTTCTCTGAATTTGTCAACAAAAAAACCAACAATGAGAGCAATCCATCACCACTGAAAAGAAACAGATTTCACTAGTATCAACTGTTTTCAATCTTTCAACTTTTTACAGTTGGTATCTTAGCAATATCATGTTTTTTTTCTTTTTCTTGAGTAATATTCATCTTACCAAGTGTATTACATCATTACTGCTTTTAAATTTCACAAAGTAGACTCATAAATTAGGGCTTCAGAGCACAGTTTCAAGGGGCAACTTTCCTATGAAGTCATTCTTCAAACTTCCCAAGTAAAGATTTCCCTCAAACTCAAGGACAGAAGTGACAAATGACACCACTTTTCCATTCGGATCATCAAGCATCTTAATAATCCTCCCATCACTCCCAACATTCATCACCATTGAACCCTTCTCGACTGCACTAATTTGCTCAAACAGCTTCGGGAATGTTGCTAAAACATGTTTAATCGCTTTGGAAGAATGCACAAATTTCATCCTGCTTGAAGTCAACTGCATAAGGTGAATTATTTCATTAGCTTCAATTTACAAACTTCTATTCTTTGGTTATTTTTCTATTCTAAAAAAACCTCAAGTAAAGCCACCCAAAATGACCCATCAGGAGCTACTTTGATATTGTCCGGTGAACCAGGAAGATTGTCAATAAAAATCTCAACTTTCCCTCTCCTTTCCTCCTTTAGCCAGTACTTCAAACACCTAAATCTTGTTTTTTTTTAAGAAAACATAAGGTTAGTTTATCTTTAACATTTAAAAAAAAAAGTTAGCGATTTTTACTTACTTCCATGATTCACACACCACCAAAAACTCTTCATCTGAAGAAACAGCTACCCCGTTTGCAAATCCAAGTCCATCAAGCACTAAAGTTGTTTCCTTTGTAGATGGGTCATATCTAAGAAGCTGTCCATGTGGTTTTGCCTCCAAAAAATCCAAGTGCCAATTATGCAACCCGAATTTAGTGCTGGCAACACTGAAGTATAAGCTTCCATCAGATGCTTCAGCCAAATCATCTGCAAATGTTATATTTTCACCATTTAAATGAGTTGCTAAAGCTGTCACTTCACCATCTTCACTAACTTTAATCAAACCCTGCAACATCACATCAAGTTTCATTTTTGGCCCGAAAATTTCAAAAATTGTAAATGGATGAATACCTCTTCAGTATCGCACACGATTAGATCGCCACTCTTTGTTATGATCAAACCAAGTAAAGTATTTTTGTTGTGTATCTTCTTCCAGTTCTCCAAAGTTCCATTTTTATGTAATCTTTTGATCCACCCGTCTCTGGTAGCTGTATACAGGACCCCTTTTTGGTCTATAAACACATCTTCTGGTTGTTTCAGCATCCCTTCGCCGAGCTTGATCACTCTCTGTAAAAAATCCACAGTTAAAAAACGTAAGTAAACATGAAGTTTTGATCAGGGAGGTCACCTGTAAGTGGTTGTTTGGGGTGAAAAAGGGTGGTGAAGGAGGTAATTGAAGTGGGTCTGGAGATATTGGAGAGTGGAAGAAGACTTGAAGTGTGATGGCAAGTACAGAAACAAGAATGGTGATTAGTGTAACAAGAAGGTACTCCATGGTTATGGTTGATGGTTGTTTCAGTGGAAGGTGATAAGAGGAAGTGAGATTTGGTGATTGTATTTTGAAAGGATCAGAAATATCTCGTGCTGTTTTAATCTAGGCTGGACCACTTTGAAAACTTCCAAAGTAGGCACCATGCAGAAGTCAGTCAAATACCAACAAAGAAAATTGAATTTTATTGACACCTGTACAAGAGAATTGGTTACGTATAAGTTTAATCAAAGAGATTAAAGAAATGAAATCAGCCATTCCCTTAGGGTGTGTGTGTGTGTTTGGTTTGTAGATTCTAATGGAATCCGAAACCGATATTCCTTCTCTATCTTGTTTGGTTGTTAAACAGACGGAATTTAATTCTGTTGGAATCCTTGAAATTCCATGTTAGATGACTTTTAGGTACTGTTTGACAGGTGGGACTGGATGAAACTGGACAGAACAAAAATTTTGAGATGATGTTTGGCATGAAATGGACAAGGACTAAATAAGTTATTGACCAAGTCAATGGGACAATTTGCTAAAAAACTAGTCCCACCCAAAAAGGTGGAACTGGATAGAACAAATCTATCGATACTTTCAATTTGACGAAACTGTCCGGTGCCCAAACAATTCCTCGATGCAAAGCGTCAAACTTATCAATATTTTTCGTTATCAAAAGCTTTCATGATAAGTCTCTTCCTTGTGTATCTTATATAATGGTATTCTAGAAACATTGCACATTGTTCAATGTTTATTTCTTGATTTGTTAGTCAAAATTTTCACATTTCAATTCAATGGATGATTTGTCATCAAGTTTCTTGAAAATTGGTACGCGAATTATCAATATTCTTTTTTCCCTCATAATAAAAAATTTCACATTTTGTTAATTTATTTACCATGAGTTGACGAGGGCTACTAATGCTGCTTAATTATTTAATATTTCGAATTTCATGAGCAAAACAAAAGATTGATGATGGCAATCTTACACAAATATATGATTGACACCTATGTACATCTTCAAATACATAACAAAAAGAAAACTTACACATATACGATCCAAATCGCTTCAGTTTTTTTTTTTTTTTTTTTTTTTTTTTTTTTTTTTTTGTGTAGCTATTGATCATAATATTTGTTCCGGTTAGTTAAATTATTGGACTGCTAGATTAAGGAGTTGATGTGATATCGATTATTTGATATTAGAAATTGTTTTAATCAATATGATTTTAAATTTTTTTTTAAAATTTTTCTTGATGTTACGTGTATTAAATGAAGTTATTATTATTATTTTTTGTAAAAGGGTAATAAGGTAAATTCTACGTCTTGTTGTGTTCTGTTCTAATATAGCCAAACACTATATAGATTATTTGTTATGTTCTGTTCTGTTCAATCCAGTTCTGTTAAGTACAGTCCTGTTCAGTCCCGTCACACACGGTCCATCTACCAAACGGTACCTTATATTCCTAGGGGTGGGTGGAGTGGCATATTCAGGATTCAAAGATTCAAAATTTTGTCTTGTACACTTTAATTGATGTTACAAAATAAACGGGTCAAGTTATTTGGCGTCAATAATATCATCTAAAATAAGTTTAGTATTAACTTTTTGATACCAAAAATAAAATGTAATTTTGAAAAATATTTGTCAATATCTTATAATTGTTCACGAGTTTTCATATTTTGAAAATAATATATAATTGCGTCGTTGCTAAATGTTTAACATTTCTTTCTCAATATATGACACTAGACAATTATTTATAATTTGATCACTTATCTTATTGCACAAATAGTTTTTTTTATCAATTATATTGTTGACAATGCACACTCCACAATGGAGCAACAAGCAAAAGTAGTGTTAATTTCTGTAAAAGATATACTATTGGATATATTATATGTTTCGACTATCATTTTTTTTTTCAAGTTTTCAATTTCCTTTTAGTTATTAAACATTGAATATATTATATGCTTGTTTGTTTTGATCGTCATTTTTGCCAAATTTCTAATTACATTAAGTTATTAAACATTGCATCTAAAGTCAACAATATGATTTTTAAGATTTGCTCCAAGTGTTCTAAAGTCATGTTTGAGAACTCATTATGATAGCTTTTAGCCTTTATGATTAGTCCTTTCTCATTGAATGCTTGAAAAGATTTACTTGAACACAAAGAAACCATAAAAGCATGTAATATGTAATGTTGTGTACACTTCATTAAAGACGTTGCTAAGATCTTGAAGTTGCATATTTATGATTGAAATAAATCCTTCAATTTTGTAGTGTTGCATAAATTAATCTTCATGCTAAATATAATAGCTTGTTGATGATTAATTAGGAAAGTTGTGGAAAATAAATAACCTTCATAGTTGCTATCTTATGAACCTTTGTAACGACTTATTCCATCGAGATATGGATTTTCCATGCTCAAGTTTTCAATATAACAATTTTTATCGTTTAAAGGTGGTTCTCATCCTTTATCATGGTCTTTTTTTTTTGGGTAATATGGTGTTAAAATCATTTGTGACCATTTATTAAGTGTAGGAAAAAAATGAATTGTTAGCAACAACGACATGCTTTTGCTTAATGTTTAAAAGGAAAAGTAATAATGTTTCATAAACGAGAAATCAACTCAAAAAGGTCATTAATGTTGGCACGATTCCTTGTAACAAAAACAAATGCTAACTGGTGAATAGAATATGCAAAAGTTACTTCGTTCAAAATCAAGGTCGTTAAGCTATTAAATACATTTCTCATGTAACTAGCTCCCTTAAAGCGACGTGGACTCAATCTACATCGTGACAACAATGAATAAATTGTAGTATTGACTGACAAAACTGAAGTGTTATTGACAAGTTTTCATGCCAATAAACATCTCTACAACACATAAAATATTCATGTACCAATTAACATACAACCCTTCTGTTATGTATCAATATATACCTTAAAATTAATCATAGAAATGACACTCTATCAACCTTACCAAAATAGGGAGAACACTCAATCCATTCATGCATCCCTAGACATCTACCTCGTGAATGGATATACGGTCCCTATAGAGTCTTTTCTTATCTCGTTCTTGGGATATCATGATTGTCCAGACCAGTGTTGCACAAATCGTGGCGACCGATTAATCGAATGACGGTCTTAAACTGATTACGATTAAGGCTAGGCCAGCTAGCTTAATAGATTTTGATATCGGTCAACGTTGGTCCTTGGCGAATTTTTTTTTTAAAAATTCACGTTTTCAAAATTTCAAATATTATACCAAAATTTTCAAAATGTCAAATATTATACAAAGAAAATTTCAAATTTTCAAAAATCCAAAGTTTTAAATTTGCAAAATTTCAAATATTTATTTTCTTAGGATATATTAATTATTTTTAAATAATTTTATTAATAATTAATGGTCCTCGATTAATTCTCACCTAGACCGATTATTCCTTTAACCAAGTCGATCGTCGAACATTTTTTACAACCTTGGTCCGGACACTACATTATACTATGCAATCTCATTCAATGTATTCAAACATTTTTTACAACCTTGGTCCGGACACTACATTATACTATGCAATCACATTCAACGTATACATGACCAGTTTTTTTTAGTGACTCAGTCACATACAAATGTCATGCTCTATCTAGAAAACAATATCAACTTGTATAGTATAAATAATTATCATTTCAAAACATTTACAAGTTTAAAGCATAATGTATAAAAACCCCTTTATCTTTTCAATCATATAACTTGTACTTACTCTTTCAAATAGTTAATTTAATCAAAACTATTAACACTATGTCATGTACCGAATGGGAAAAATCCTCATGTACACACATTGTTAGTTAGTGAAGAGTAACTATCACTCCTTATCCTTCACTTTGTGCTTCTTGACCAATGTTCCCTAAATACCTATTTAATCAAAATAATAAGCTCATACGAAAACTTCTCTTTCAAAAGAGCTTTATTATATTCCATATTTTCATTTCCAATCTTCTATAATAACATAATATCATTATTTCACAATCTCACGGTTAAAACTAGTTAGGCTTCATGAAGAGCTTATCTTTATACCTTAATTCATTAAGATACCAGTTCAATCTCACGTATCTAGCAAAGCACCCAATTATGGTTCAAAATCATCATCTTTAAATTCAAGCAATAAACCATATTAAGGCTTGAAAACATGTTTACTACACCTACTACATAATTATCATCAAGATTCCATCTCTCTCTCTCTCTCTTTCTCTCTCATCACCCCTTTACACTTTCACCATTAAAGTTTTGTCTAAGCTTGCTGAGAAGAAGAAGTTACCTTCAACCCAAGATATAGAAGCCATGATTCTTGTCCTTCATGGAAATCCTTGGATAGAGCATCAACCTCTTAGTATTAAGGTCCTAAAATCTCCCCTAGATGGTCTCCAAACGGTGTGTGGTGAAATGAGGGGAAAGTAACCGACTTAACACATGATATAATGTATTTTTCTAGACCTTGACCCCTTTACACAACTGTATAACATGAAACACAATCATGTTTTGCCTAAATACTCCCAAAAGTGCCATAAAAAGCAATCTACTTCATTAAACTGAAGTTTAGACTGTTCGAACCTTTTGCACGACCGTGTAAGGCATTATGCAACAGTGTAACTCTCATTTTCTTCTTTAAGCAATGCACTTTACTCTCCAACTTCAATTGACCATAACTTCTTCATACATACTCATATTTTAATGATTTTTATATCCATATATTCGTATTCGAGTCAACTATAATTTCTTTTAGATTAATTATGCTAAAAAGTTTTACATTTTCATTTATAAACAAAGGGGTATAAATTATTTTTTTATCATAATAACCTTGTATCACATCTTTTAAATTAGGTAATTCACACAACTTAACAAAATTACATACCGTAACTTGTCATCTAAACTTTTTAAGGATGTTGCAGGTAAAATGGTAATTTCAGATTAAATTTGTAAAAAAATGAAACCATATAGATCAACTATGTAATACATTAAAACCATGGACACCATCATCATCAAGAGAAAAAAGTTAAGGACAAAACATATGAATTTGAAAAACCAAAAGGACCATTTATGTAAATTTGTCTATTAATAACGAACAAAGTTAAGGACAAAACATATGCATTTGAAAAACCAAAAGGACCATTTATGTAAATTTGTCTATTAATAACGAACATACTTTTTTCCTTATTTTTCGAAGGGCATATTCATAATGAGCATAACTATTTCTTTCTTGGACTAACAATATCATTTTGGACTTTCTTGATAAATCAGAACTCTTTTTTTCGTTGTAAAATTTTAATATTTATTATTAAATGAGTAAAAGTTTTGGTTATTAATGTCAAATTTTATTTTATAGACAAGATCTTTCATTTAGTTATAAAATAAACTACGTAAGTTTTAAATATTAATTTTAGAAAATACTTTTAAGCTAAAAATTAATGGAAAAATAATTTTAAGTTTTACGGGCATGTTATCATCCACTGTAAACAATAAAAGTAGTGTGTTTTAGAAACAAAAAGTATGTGCATTATTTTCTTGATGAAAACATGTGTTTATTTTTTTTCACTAAAACATATCTTTAATCTTTAAACGTAAATGATTAAGAAATCATATACCGGTTATACCCTTTTGAGTTTTGGCACATTTAATTAGTTGCCGAAAATGACAACCCCAGAACTCATCGGAATGATACCTTCTCATGAAAACTGAACCACTCGAATCGACTCAGTCTGTTCACAAAAAACCAAAACACAAGTCATCTCATCTCTCCTTCTTCAACATCAAGAGCCCTAAAAATTCCTCTCTTTCCCTTTCTCAATTTTGGGTTTTGCCTCCTTGATCTTATACACTTCTGTCATTCTTGATCTTCTTTACCTATTTCAATTCTCGAAATCGAAATCTTATCGAATCATATGCGATCACTTCTTTTCACTGATGATACCCAATTACCTCAACTTATTACCCAAATCATTATTTCTTGATCTCCTTAGTCAAATTGGAAAGGAAGATCATAAAACTAGGTTTCTGTTGTTGTAAATGGACCACCGCTTCCGGATACCCTTCAATTCCCGTGGTTCTTTGCATGGTGTTTTCAGCCTTGTATTTCTCGTGTTTTGCTTTCACCAACAGACCCATAAATGGAACTACAAGGGTACCAACCGGGTCGGTTTGCTGGGTACTCCACGAAACTTGGGTATCAAGACCCCACCTGATTGTACAGGACTAAATCATCATGAAGGTTATGAAAGTGTATGTGAGTTCTTATTAGCTAACCCTCAATGTAAATCCGATGGGTTTTTCAATTACATGAACTTCTTCTACTGTTCTTCTCAAAACCATGCTTTCTTTGGTTACATTGTACTCGTTTTATGGCTTGCTGCCTTGTTTTATCTTTTGGGCAACACAGCTGCCGATTATTTCTGTTGTTCTCTTGAAAAGTTGTCGAATTTATTGAGATTACCACCCACTGTCGCAGGGGTCACCTTGCTTCCATTAGGAAACGGTGCCCCTGATGTATTTGCTAGCATCGCTGCTTTTGTGGGCACCGATAATGGCGATGTTGGACTCAATAGTATTCTGGGTGGAGCCATTTTCGTGACGTGTGTTGTTGTCGGGACTATTTCTATCTGTGTGGCTGATCAGGTTGTGAATATCGATAAGAAATGTTTCATTAGAGATGTATCTGTGTTTCTTTTTGCCGTTGTTTCTCTTGCTTTCATCTTGCTTATCGGAGAGGTTAGTGTCGGTGGCGCAATCGCGTTTGTTTTTATTTACATTGTTTACGCCGCCTTAGTTGCCGCTAACGAGTTCTTGAGACAAAGAGATGGGATTTTGAACATTGAGACAATAAGTGTCCCGTTGTTGGCTGTTACTCAAATGGATGGTTACGAAAATAAAGATATTGAATCAATAAACATGTCTTTCACGGATTCCGATGATGTCCCGCTCTTGATTGAATCAAAGGTTCCGCACTGGATGTGGGGTTCAAACGTGTCAATTTACTCCGAGGTTCTTGGACATATGGAAGATAACCCAAAGCCTCTTTGGGGATGGAAGGATGAAGAACATAACAATTCATCACTTTCGTGTTCTAAACTATTTTCATGTCTAGAATTCCCGTTATCATTGCCAAGACGGTTGACAATTCCAATAATCGAGGAAGGAAGATGGTCAAAAGGTTACGCTGTCGCCAGCGTAACCCTAGCCCCTTCACTCCTCGCGTTCCTATGGAACAACGTGTATGGTAACAACCGACTAGCTGCTGTGCTAATCTACTTAGCTTGCGCACTAGTCGGTTGTTTCTTTGGTGGGGTTGTGTTTATATGCACAAACGCAAACCACCCACCTCAAAAATGGGTGCTTCCATGGGTTGTTGGAGGATTCTTTATGAGCATTGTTTGGTTCTACATGATAGCCAATGAGCTAGTTTCTTTATTGGTAGCATTTGGTCTGATATTCGGAATCAACCCATCAATCCTTGGGTTAACAGTTTTAGCATGGGGGAACTCGATGGGTGACTTGATGTCAAATGTTGCATTGGCGGTTAATGGCGGTGAAGGCGTGCAGATTGCAATATCCGGTTGCTATGCGGGCCCAATGTTCAACACGCTTGTGGGTTTGGGGATTTGTATGTTGATTGGATCATGGTCCAAGAGACCGGAGTCTTATAAAATGGGTGGTGATGTGGGGCTGTTTTGTAATATTGGGTTTTTGGTGGTGGGGTTGGTTTGGTCGCTGGTGGTGTTGCCGAGAAATGGGATGCAGCCAAGCAAGTTGTTAGGGATAGGGCTTATGGGGATTTACGTGGTGTTTCTTGGAACTCGATTAGGGATGTCAATCGGTGATGGATCACTTGACAATACTGGCTGAACAGACTGTTGTCAGCACGTAGATATGTTTTTTTAGTGTACAGTTTTGTTGTTTACTTTACTCACGTAGCTGTTATTGGGTTAACTGGGAGTCTATTTGTAGTTCGATTTGTATAGTTGGATTGGATCTTTGCACCCAATTGATTGCTTACCATGTTTGCTTTTAGCATTTTTATTAAGCGAGGCACACTAATTTGAAATTGGGTCCAATTTGTTTGCCATATAAACATAACCTAACTGGCTAAGTAGCCCAGCGGTAGCGAGACAATGTTTTAAAATCCAGTTATTTAGTTAACCCGATATACCGAACATGTCACAGATCAACCGGTTTGACTTAATCTAATATTCAGATTTTTTAAACTTTTTATATATACCTACATATAATTTTGTCTTTTTCAACCAGGCAAAAAGAAATCAGATATTAATTCAAAAAATAAAAGACTTTTTATTGAAAGACAAGATGCTTTGGAGTTGGAATATACATGGGAAAAATTAGAGGATATGTTAAGTACACCTAACACTTTGAATCTATAAAATCTCAACTGCTCGTTGAAATGAAATATGTAAGTTTAATGAAGTTTTTTACTTAACATGAAAAGATTGATGTTTCAAAGAAGAGAGAAGAAAAACAGTGGTTTTTACTAGTATACAGTACTTATAAAATTATAAAGGTTTTAGACTTCTAAAAAGAAGATATAGTAAATTTAGAGATACTATGTTAAAGTCATTAATTTATGATGTAGTTTTATGTTTTGTAATTTCTATAATAGAGTACAAAAAGTTTTCATCTTAAATTAGGGTTTTGGTTATTCTTAGAGTTAACATCTTTCATTTTTTTTAACGGCAACTTGAATGGTTAGATGTTAGTGTTAATACTCCAATTTTTGTTAGCACCAATGATCGAACCCTGACATCCCCATTCTCCCATACTAAGAGGCTAAGCCTATACCAGTTGGGCTATTCCCAATTGGCTTTTACTATGTTACTTTTGCTCAAATGATTGTTTTGTTTTAAATATGTGTTTGATGTGAGGAAAAAATAACCAATCCTAAAAGCCATAATTAATATTAATTGAAGTGCAATGGCGCACATAAAAGACTAATGATTTCCAAAAATAACACCTTGATATCCTTAATATCTACGGGACCATGGGTTATTAGTTGTCTTCCAAAATACTTCCGTTTTGGCATGGTAAATGTCCAAAATAAAGATTTAATGAATGAGAAATTCACGAAAATATGATATCACCTCTAAAAATTGTTGGCTAAAAATATGAGGATGAAAATGTTGTGTTTATAAAAGATTAAATATGTTTGTTTCGGTTTCATATCTATCATCATTGAGTCAAGCGTCAATGGAGATAACTTGTCATTGTCCGTGGGTGTATTGTTTAGCTTTTGGGAGTTTATACCTTCTAACAGTTATGAAAAAACTGGTTTCAAAGAAAAAAAAACTTCGTTCCGCAACAGCAGCAGAAGCTATTAACTTTTGGGTTAAATAAAAAACTTCAAATCAAAAGCTACTTCAACGAAGATTTTAACAAAAAGGTTCTTTTTTTTTATTTTAATTTTAACATATTGATATAAATACAATTAAAAATAAATAAATCATATTCATATTTTTAACGATTATGATGTCTTTATTTGAAACAAAATATATATATATATATATATATATATATATATATATATATATATATATATCTTATACAATTAAATTTAAATATAGTTTTAACAATTTTGATGTGTTTATTTAAAACAATCACGTCAACGGGTTTTATAATTTATTAATTTTCTAACAAAATAATAAACATTTATATATATATATATCTATATATATATATATATATATATATATATATATATATATATATATAAACCAAAATTTATATAATACAATAATATCGTTTCTTTAGAATGCCGAAACACTTGTAATATGAAAAAAATGTTTTGTCTCGGTCCTTAAAAAATTGAAAAGTATTAATACTTTACTTGTAAAACAATCATCATTTACTAATATACATAATTTTTTTTACCAATTTAGAAGCTTAATTGCTGTATTTGGTATTAAAATTTGGATGGTTTTTAACTTTTGAATATTATAGTTTAGAAAAATTAATTTATCATAATTATTTTTCAATTTTACTTTATATCCAAATCACTTTTTATGTAATTTTAATATCATGTAATTTTAATCTGAAAATTTAAACTGCTTGTATCGAACACACTTATACAAGTAAAAGTGCAATTTCCAACTTCCAGCTTTCAGTTATTTTTGCCGAACACACACTACAATTTTGCAAACAAGTATAAACACATTTTAGTTTCGTTTCATAACATATCATTTGAATTAAAGACGTATTCAAAGTTTTTGTACATGTCAACGGTCTATCCTTATTAATTTTGATAGATTTTCCAGTTTGAAGCAAAGAATCGTATCAAAAGCTTTTATACATGTCAATGTTCCAATTATTTCATATGAAATAGACAAGTAGTCGATTGCGTTTATTATGGCTCACCGGCTAAGTAAACATCAATCACATGGATGATAGTGGGCATGTGGAAGACAGAGATGGTCGCTAGCTAGGTCTTTGTCAATACCACTTGTTGATAATTATATTTAAAAAATGATACACGAAATATATAGCTCGTGATTATCATGTAATATAATCTTTTAAAATAGATCGGGAAGATCCTGAAGAGGTAGGAATTTTTTTACATACCACAAAAACCATATTTCAAAAGTCAGACTAGACTTTGGGAAACTTGGGTGATTGATCATGGCTCATCATGACAATGGGCCTAAATTTTTTATATGTGTTATGGTACAGTAACAGATAAGACTTAGAATGCATTCCATGACAAACGAAGGATTGAGTCAAAATCAATACCTTTTGTTCTAAAAGGTTTGAATCACCTTTGGTAAGTTTTGTTACTTTTAGTCATATAAAATTAGCTCGAAATTGTGAGTTTTGTTTTTTTTACAAATAAAATTTGAGTTAATATATTATCTAGGGTTATTTTTATTTTACAAATGATATTTGACTGTGTATTAAGCATTTATATGTTTGATAAATTATTTATGGTTCAAAATATGGATTAATAGATTATTTAGGTTATGTAAATGTGTAGATTGTAATTTGTCTTCAATGTGTTTGTCAAATTGAAAAGGAAAATGTTGTAGGTTGGATATTTAGAACAAGAACACCCAAACCCATTAAAAAGAAAATTTTCAAACTGAAACAGAATTGTTTGTGATTTTTGAACTATATTATAACTATAACTCTACAACAACATCCACACCTTGTTTATTAGTAAATTGATTACCAGTAATTTAGTATTTTTCATTGTTTCAATTGTTACTTTGGGGTTTTTGGGATTACTTTTTAAGGTCAAAAGTACTTTTTGTAAAAAGACTTTTGATTACTGACTTTTTCCAAAAGAAAATTTTTAAAATGTGTTTGTATTTGCTTTTAGAGTAAAAATCAACTTTTCAGTTAAAAAGTTTTAAAAAATACAAAAAGATATGATTTGTGACTTTCGAAAACCCAACTTTTCATTTTATACAAAAAAGTAATTTTAAAAGATCTTTTCCATCAACCAAAAATTTTTTGCAATTTTTTGACTTTTTGAAAAAGTTAAAAATCAAAAGTTGTTTTAAAACCAATCCCAAACACCCTCTTTATGCCAAATTGCCAAATATATATATATATATATATATATATATATATATATATATATATATATATATATATATAAAGTATGATCAAATAGGAACTCAAAAAATAATAGGAACCGCAAAAACAATTTTTGGCCTTAAGATTGAAAAAATAAATGACTAGAATTTGATTTTATTTATCGTCAAAATCTCGCGAGATGGTATGACATTTTCGTAATTAATTGCGAAATTTTGATAATTTTCGGGAAAAGTTAATTGTTTGGATGATACAAGTGACAACATCAAAAAGATTAAAAAAAAAAGAACAAAAAAAAGAAAATTCGGCCATATGACCTCTCCAGTAGCTGACACATGCCCTCACCTCAACAAAACAAGTGTCTAGCCCTTTTTGGTTGGTGAGTTTTTTTTTCCACCCGCTTAGTTTTTTGGCCATAACTTTTTTTTTTGAAAAAAAAATGAAAAAACCAAAGTTCTTAAAATTTAATTCTCTACAAAATGAGCACAATCATGAAATTTTGAAAAAAAATATTTTTTTATTTTTTATATTTATAAAAAAACCCAAAAAAAATTCTCCAAAAATTATAAAAATTTAAGGAATATTTCTACTCACTATTCTCATGACTTTGTAAAAAGAATTTTTAAAAAATAAGGTGTTTTAGATACCAAACTTTATTTTAAAAGATTAAAAGTTTTAAAAAAAATGTTGAACATAATATGATGCAAATAAAGATGATTCCAAATATTTATAATTAAAAAATATAATGATTCAATATGTTTATGATCATTAACTTGTTATGATCTAAAAATATTTTGATTTAAATATTTAATGTGTAACATCCCATTTTTCGAGTCCAAAAATTTTGATTTTTATATAACAATTTAGAAAACATTCATAAGAAAATATCATGAAGTCATATCATTTCGTAAAAACCATAATCTCATGTCTGAAATCATATCGTAAAAGTAGTAACAATGTCAGAGTACAATCCCAAGAAATCTCATAATGCGGAATCCAGTGTGTGTATGATGTGCAGCTACCGCGCCGGCTCCTTCCCCTTCGCTGAAGAGGTACCTGAAACAAAACTGAAAACTGTAAGCACGAAGCTTAGTGAGTTCCCCCAATCGTACCACATACCATACAATCATATAGCATACATACTGTCGGGCAATTCTGGGGTGCCCGATCTACCCGGTACGACCATTCTCGGGTGCCGACCTACCCGTGTCAAGCCATTCTGGGGTGATGACCTACCCGTCGGTCCTAACAACCGACCCTCGGGGACTATTCCACCCCTACTGCTACTATCACATATATCATAACAT